GAGCGACATTCTGCAAAGGACCTGCTACATCATGATGATCAACTTCAAACTAATTTTAATCTTCGTCTGTTCGGACTGCACACTCTAAACCTTCATACATTGCCTTATTCATATGCCCGATACGCCTAAAGGCGTGGAAAGGAATCTTTACTTTTTTTTTCACTTTGTTTCCGTGGTATAGTTTGCATTCAAAAATTTACCATAGTGATTTTCTGTATAAACTATCAAAAGCATACCAAAGTTCAATTTCAGGAGGTGTAGAAAAGGTACCCAGATGATAGCGGTGGCATCACCGACATGTCCAAAAATGAACTGGACCAGTTCCTCAATTTTATCAACAATTTCAAACCGGTTTATTAAATTCACCTCGCTGATCTCTGCCACTTTTGTAAAGTTTTTTGGCATCACCATCAGCATCATTTTCCCCTGACTACAGCCTGTCACAACCCTACTGATTCTCACAGCTAACCACTGTTTCCATCCTCTCACTCACTGCTTGGGGTCATGGCCCTTTGGGAACAAGCAACGGAATCAGTAGTGATATAAGATTATTATGAAAAATAAAGCATCTGGGTGTAACCAGAGGGTCTGGCCGATTTACTACACTCAGAGGAAAGGCAAGACGGACATATAGCCAAATTGTGACAGGCACCATCAGTTTTGGAACTCTGCGCTGGCTGCTGAAGATGAGGACAGTGCATGAAGGGGAATGCCCAGAGCGATGTGATGTCAATTCTTGACTCAACTCAGCTCACTCACTGCTTTATACAAATTATACTCCGTATCCACAGCTCCTTTTTCTACGTAGGTTGTGCTCAGATAACTCCTACATTTCTTAAGCAGAGCATATGAACCTATTCATCCCTTCTGTGTCTGCTCTTATGACGAACTCATCCTGCAAGAGTTTCTGAAAAAAAAAGTACTACCCATCACACGGTGAGTTCCCCCACGGAAGGCTCCATTTATGATGGACTTAAATTGTTAAATACTCTCCAACCTAAAGAAATGTGGTGCTACAAAAATTATTGCTTTGCCACTTGGACATCCTCTGCTCTAGACACTAGGAGGACCTTCAGTGAGAAACCAAGAATAGTCTACAGACGAGAGTGCAATCTGAAGGACATGCTCGTCACAAGCCAACTCCAGCCGATCCAAGCAGCACTTCCATTTAGAAATACGGAATACTCGAAAACAATAACGGCAATGCATGTCCTATTTTATCCAGACCACCACGGTAAGGTTCCCAAATGATTCTTTTCAGATCAAGAAACCGTATACCTGCGAATCCCCAAAAAGAAATGGGAAATAGACAGAAAGCTAACTGATCAGTCGCACAGCTAGCCGGGCGTCTGCTCTATTTTTGCCATTCACAACAGCATACCTTGGGACAACAACAACGGTGATTTTGCGAAAAGCTGTGTACTGTATCAGATGGAACCACCATCTCGGCGCATGCCTTGATCTTCTGTACCTGGAAAAGTCGCCTTGAATCGATGACATAACCAACTAAATGATCAAGAATTTAGGGGAAACAGCCAAAACAAAACTGTTGCAGATTTTCAATAATTGTTGGCCTACTTTCAAAATTCTACTTATATGGAAAGAAGCAACCATGATAACTCTCCTAAATCCCAGAAAAGACAGTTTTATTGCTTTTAGTTGTAGATCAATTAGCCTTACCAAAACAATGGAATGCATTGTCAACCTTAGACTTCAATGGTACATGGAAAGTGAAAACATCTTCACGCTGCAGCAGGCATTTCTCCACAGAAGACCAGACAACTTACCTCTTAAGAAATTGAAAACTCCTTTTAAACAAAAAAATATAGTGCTTGTGGCATGGATACATTTGAAGAAAGTTTTTGACAAAGTCTTGAAATGTCTCAAGAAGAAACCTACAAACTACAAAGTGACTGGAAATGTGTTACGACCGCTGAAAGCGCACAAGAGCATGAGTACAGATAGACGGACTGTGGTTCCAGAACATACAGGAGACGGTTGTGGCAGCACTTGGTCTTGTGGATGCATACAATAGAGTCAGACACGATAGTTTGATATCTGCACTCATGGAGAAGGGAGTTTTTCCCTGGCTTGTGAACTGGATAGCAGCTATCCTGCACTCACGTATGGTTGCCCTTTGCCTGGGTACATTGACCTCAAAACCATGTAACTGGGACTACCCCAGAGTTCTGCAATTTCACCAGAGCTCTTCAATGTGTATACAAGCAACAAAAAAAAAAATCAGCTGTCTTTCCGATAAATGGAATACCACCAAGAGAGATTAGGAAGCCCACATACCTAAGAGTAAGGTTTATTGATAGGGTAACATGAAAAAAACACATCAACAAGGCAGCAACCAAAGCCAGAAGGAAGATAGCTATCCTAAGAAAACTAAGTAACACAACATGAGGCGCAAATGGGAAAGTACTTAGGCAAGTTTATCAATAAAGTGTACGACTAAACCTTGAGCACGGATCAACTGCATGGAGTTCAGCATCAAAAACCAGACTACAAAAGTTAGACAAGGTGCAAAATCAAGCGCCCAGAGTCATAAATGCGGGGTGAAATCTACACCTATAGCCGTGATGGAGAAGATGGTGATGACCAAAACTCTGACAGAACGAAGAGACACTGAGATACTATTACAAGCAGAAACATTTCTTAGCATACCCCAACACCCTATATATTGCAAAATCTAGCAATAAGGCGATTAAAAGAAAGAGTTTCATAAACCAGGCCGAACGTCTTTGCAGGCAATGGAAGAACAATACAGTGTGCAACTTAAAAATCCAACACTCGCTCTACTTCAAAATGAATACCCATAGAATCTTTGGGTTCGCGTCTACACGGATGGGTCAGAACAAAACGCAAGCAGAAAAGAACGAGCAGGAGTGTATATTGAGCATCCAAATAATACCAGAAGAAGAAGGAGGAGGAGGAGGATAATAATAATAATAATAATAATAATAATAATAATAATAATAATAATAATAATAATAATAATAATAATAATAATAATAATAATAATAATAAAGAAGAAGAAGAAGAAGAAGAAGAAGAAGAAGAAGAAGAAGAAGAAGAAGAAGAAGAAGAAGAAGAAGAAGAAGAAGAAGAAGAAGAAGAAGAAGAAGAAGAAGAAGATCGTCTGTAGCAGGCTCATTGAATCGCATTAATGAATTACTTGGTTTTTCAGCAATTTTAGGGCCTTAGTCATGCTGCCGCTGCAGCACAGGCTCCACTATCTTATTTGATGACTTGTCCTTTAGTTCCTATCGGTTCTGATTTCTCAAGAAACCATCTCTATAAGTAACAGCATCTTCGATTATGTTTGTTACTCCACCAATGCTTTCGCTTCCTTATCAACTATGTCCGTCTGTGGTCATTCAAGAGTTGCTTCTGTCCGTATACGGTCAATGAAGAGTTACTGCTGTTACTGTCCGTATATCGACGTTAAAGAGATATTATGTCTGTATATGGACTTTATAAAGAGTTACTGCTGTCCTGTTCATTTACATTAAAGATTTGCTGTACTACTGTCCGTACACTGACAGTAAAGCATTGTTATACTACTGTCCGCAAACTGAATTGAAGAATGGCTAAACTACTGTCCGTACACTAACACTGACGAATTGCTATACTACTGTCCGTACACTGACATTAAAAAATTGCTATACTACTGTCCGTACACTGACAGTAAAGCATTGCTATACTACTGTCCGCAAACTGAATTGAAGAATTGCTAAACTACTGTCCGTACACTGACAGTAAAGAATTGCTATACTACTGTCCATACACTGACATTGAAGAATTGCTATACTACTGTTCGTACACTGACATTAAAGAATTGCTATATTACTGTCCATACACTGACATTGAAGAATTGCTATACTACTGTTCGTACACTGACACTGAAGAATTGCTATACTACTGTTCGTACACTGACATTAAAGAATTGCTATACTACTGTCCATACACTGACAATAAAGCATTTCTATACTACTGTCCGTACACTGACACTGAAGAATTGCTGTACTACTGTTCGTACACTGACATTAAAGAATTGCTATACTACTGTCCATACACTGACAATAAAGCATTGCTATACTACTGTCCGTACACTGACACTGAAGAATTGCTGTACTACTGTTCGTACACTGACATTGAAGAACTACTATACTACTGTCCGTACATTGACATTATAGAACTGTTGTACTACTGTCTGTACACTGGCATTAAAGAATTGCTGTACTACTGTCCGTACACTGACATTGAAAAACTGCTTTTGTCCCTGTATGGTCTTTGTATAGTTATTACTGGCTGTATTTCGACATTCTTCTGTTGCTGCTTTCGACCTTGAAAATGCAATTGGTTCGTTGTACAGTAGCTGCCATATTTGAACCTTTCTGTCTAGAAAATCCGATTTCAGAATACCCCCTTTAGTGGATTTTTACGGCATTCTAATTGGGGGATTATAGTCTATACCCCCCCCCCCCCCCACTTCCACCCTCACCCCAGTCGCAAAAACCAATTGAGTCCTGGAACCTATACATGAAGTACCTGAAAGTGCTGCCACATGTATATTGTCCTTCCAGCGTTGCTTGTGCCTTCGCCTTATTTATTAAGTCACTACTGCCCTTACAAAGTCATGTATTAGTAATTATGGCTCTTACATGGACATGCACGGGTTGCCAATTCTTTACACGGACATGCACAGGTTGCCCAATCTGTACATGGACATCCACGGGTTGTCCATTCTGTACATGGACATGCACGGGTTGCCCATTCTGTACACGGACATCCACGGGTTGCCCATTCTGTACATGGACATGAACGGGTTGCCCATTCTGTACATGGACATCCACGGGTTGCCCATTCTGTACATGGACATCCACGGGTTGCCCATTCTGTACATGGACATGCACGGGTTGCCCATTCTGTACATGGACATCCATGAGTTGCCCATTCTGTACAAGGACATCCACGGGTTGCCCATTCTGTACATGGACATCCACGGGTTGCCCATTCTGTACACGGACATCCACGGGTTGCCCATTCTGTACATGGACATCCACGGGTTGCCCATTCTGTACACAGACATCCATGGGTTGCCCATTCTGTACATGGACATCCACGGGTTGCCCATTCTGTACATGGACATCCATGAGTTGCCCATTCTGTACACGGACATCCACGGGTTGCCCATTCTGTACACGGACATCCACGGGTTGCCCATTCTGTACATGGACATCCACGGGTTGCCCATTCTGTACACGGACATCCATGGGTTGCCCATTCTGTACATGGACATCCATGAGTTGCCCATTCTGTACATGGACATCCACTGGTTGCCCATTCTGTACATGGACATCCACGGGTTGCCCATTCTGTACACGGACATCCACGGGTTGCCCATTCTGTACATGGACATCCACGGGTTGCCCATTCTGTACATGGACATCCACGGGTTGCCCATTCTGTACATGGACATGCACGGGTTGCCCATTCTGTACATGGACATCCATGAGTTGCCTATTTTGTACATGGACATCCACGGGTTGCCCATTCTGTACATGGACATCCACGGGTTGCCCATTCTGTACATGGACATCCACGGGTTGCCCATTCTGTACATGGACATCCACGGGTTGCCCATTCTGTACATGGACATCCATGAGTTGCCTATTTTGTACATGGACATCCACGGGTTGCCCATTCTGTACACGGACATCCACGGGTTGCCCATTCTGTACATGGACATCCACGGGTTGCCCATTCTGTACACGGACATCCATGGGTTGCCCATTCTGTACATGGACATCCATGAGTTGCCCATTCTGTACATGGACATCCACGGGTTGCCCATTCTGTACATGGACATCCACGGGTTGCCCATTCTGTACACGGACATCCACGGGTTGCCCATTCTGTACATGGACATCCACGGGTTGCCCATTCTGTACATGGACATCCACGGGTTGCCCATTCTGTACATGGACATGCACGGGTTGCCCATTCTGTACATGGACATCCATGAGTTGCCTATTTTGTACATGGACATCCACGGGTTGCCCATTCTGTACATGGACATCCACGGGTTGCCCATTCTGTACATGGACATCCACGGGTTGCCCATTCTGTACATGGACATCCACGGGTTGCCCATTCTGTACATGGACATCCATGAGTTGCCCATTCTGTACATGGACATCCATGAGTTGCCCATTCTGTACATGGACATCCACGGGTTGCCCATTCTGTACATGGACATCCACGGGTTGCCCATTCTGTACACTGTCAGTCAATATTTACTGATGCTGCTCTTCTTTGTACTTGGTCATTTAAAAGTTACTTCTGTCTGTACAAGTGGGTGTCTACGTGTACAAGTGTGTATCTATGTTTACAAGTGGGTATCAATGTGTTCAAGTGGCTAGCTATGTGTACAAGTGGGTATTCTTGTGTACAAGTGGGTATCCTTGTGTAAACCCCTGTCACAGACCACGTTTCTCTAGAAGTGCACACACATTTTACGTGGAATTAAACAAAATAATAAATAAAGATAAAGTAAGCTGGCTCAAATCTGGGAAGCCTCAATAATCACCAAGTCCACATCTATGAAGAATTATGATCGGAACAAATCAGAACAGGGTCCGGGTAAAATATTAAGCACACTAAGGGCGTGCTTAAGTCATTATAAAGAAAGGAGGCACCACAGAAGTTTTTAGTAACCTTGGAGCTAAGCATTCATTTTCTCAGCTTGGGTATACTTTTTTCATCCCATCAAAACATCATTTTAAACCAAAAGTTGGAGAGCACTTTTCAAATAAAGATAAAGGAGAAGAATTCAAAAATAGCCATTATTTTCCATCTCGATGTAAGTTTTGTTGAATTCTGATAAATAAAATACAATATTATTTTTTATTATTGTTTATACTTTGAATTCGACACATATGGGAGCTTGATCACAGAAGACACAAACAATAGAATGCACAATTTATTGCCTGGCATATTTCGCTGTATCTCATCAGGTGCATACTACAAGCGAAATTACTAAAACCAGTACGACAATCATTTGAGCCCAAAATGCTCAGAGATTCATTTGAACTGGCAGAATTACTAGACAAAATGAATGTAAATCAAAAGTACATGGCATCAATGGATGTGGCCTCACTATTTACAAACGTCCCCTTGGAAGAAACCGTGAAAA